ATATATCGATTTAGTCCAGTTCTCGGGCCATCCACCCAGATCCTAAATCAGCTGGCATATTCTGTGCATAACATCGATTATGGGTCTCTTAGTGCTGTTATCATTTCAGCCACGATGTTGCTAAGTTTTAATTTCCTGACTGTAGCATATAAGTGCTTCTCTCATAAGTGATAACTCCCTTTCCTTATGCTCTATTCTTTGCTGTTGGTTATCTCGGTTGCTATTTGTTGACACTAGTAGTACACCATCCTCGGATCTTATTGCTCCCTGTTTTGAAGTGTCTATTTTTCTTGAACATATCACTGGTTTCGTTTTTGTATGTGGGTTATTCTATTTCTAGACATATGTGGTTAAGGTACTTGGTTTTATCTTTCCTGCAGTCGTTTTTGATCTCTCACATAGTGCTGCGTGTTTCATTTTGTCGTCAATGTCTCGCAAACCATTCCACATTGTCCCAAGTTTCCTAGAATATCTAGGCATTCCTTTATTTCGTCACCTTGTATCCTTCTTGTAATGTTTAAAAACTTTTCTAGTGACAAGCTTTTAATTTTGTATTTACAGTGTGTACACAAGAATCTAGGCGTTTTACATTAAACACAATAATAGCTCGATAATGCAGAAAATCTATTGGAAAAGTTTCTCAAAAGGTATTACTAAAGTAGTTTATTGGGATACACGACCAACACGACAAAGGCTAGATAATTGAAAAGAGGCTTCCTTTTATCTTTACCGAGCTTTCGGAAATTTTATTTTTCCTTCTTCAGAGGTAACTACAATATTGAGAAAACAAAAGNATATAGGTGGTTCCATTTAAAATAACGAAGTTGTTGTCTACTTCCGGTATAACCGGAAGTGCGACAGTCTTGAAAATATTTTAGGTGAGTTGGGCATATCGACTTAAGTGCGCCTACAAATTTTCAGAAAGATACTACTCATAGTTTCTCCTATATCGATCGACGCAGTTCGTCGTGGGACACCCTGTATACAACTACCGACTATCTCGATGCAGACGAGTTGTTGAAAATGTGTTTGGGTTAAATGCTAATAGATTTCGAGTCCTACGAAAGCCAATTTTTTTGCATCCAGAAAGAGTTAAGGCTGTAGTTTTGGCAATATGTACGCTGCATAATTATCTAATTCAAGGTAAGGAGTCTTCTAACAGATATGCTCCTCCAGGAATATTTGATATCGAAGATACGGAAACTGGCAATGTAATTGATGGATACTGGCGTTCAGAAGAGGGTATGCCCAACAAAAGTTTACTTGCCCTACAAGCTACAAGAAGTAGAAATCGCCCAAAGCCTGCAGAACAAGTTCGTGTAGAATTTACAGAATATTTCTCAACTCATGCAGGAAAGGTTCACTGGCAGTACAGGCATATTTAAAAAAGGAAACCACAAAACAGGAGCTGTTATGGGTCGTGCAGTGTTGTTGTTATCAATGTAATGTTATGCACTTATAAAACTGTAATTTCTCTTAATAAATCTTGATTATCACTCATAGATATATAGCACTATTTATTTGACGAAGATTTTGAAATTAAACTATAGATCATACTCGAGATAAACGGTAATTAGTAAGTTATATTTTTAAATGAAGTAATTTTCTTGGCCTCATTTGCCAGCATGTTTTTTTAACTATAACTCTATAACCTCTTAAATGGCCGTTTTCGTTAGGATAATATAAAAGAACGTGAATAGTCTACTTACCGGTACAATAGTACTAGTTGTGGTGGATGACTTCACTTGAATAAAGTTCAGTGCACTGAAGTAGGGCCAATTCGAAACATACACTTCATCAGTCGCCTGTCCCGATGTTTTCTTCTGCAGCTTCTTTAATTCTGAATGATATTGACTTCTTAAATTATGCAGTTTTCGCTGCACTTCAAAGACATCAACTTTCAGCTCATTGCTTATGTCTCGTAGAACTTCGTGTTTTCTTACTCTGTTACTGACCCAATATTCCACAAAATTTCATTTTCTTCATACAGAGTTATTAGCTTTTTGGTGTCCAGATCAGTCCATTTTTTGGCGTCACCTGAGGTGACTTGGGTAAGGATAGAGTCCATCGAGTTATCTTCAGCCATGACACACTACACAGCACGATACGAGTTAATAGAAGATTAATATTTGAACCTTAATCTTGCTTTTTATTAAAATATAAATCGGTACCGGTTTCAGGGTTATAATCTCATCTTCTGCCGTAAGCTATTTTGCTTAATAGCTTCAGGGGTTATAACCCTGAAACCGGTACCGATTTATATTTTAATAAAAAATTGAGGATCAAATATTAATCTTTTATTAATTGTTTTCTTTGCAACATGGATAATTAGCAATCCACGATACGAGTTATTAAGAATTATACAAACACTGCACACGCTAACTTGCTCTAAACTGTCGAGAAATATCTCAGAATGTTTGATCGGGTGACAGTGCGAGTGCGAGCGCGAACACCACCTGTGTATCTTGTTTAGACCTGCAAGTTCATGTGTCAGACACTTCTGTAGCCGGCTCGCGACAGCAGTCGCGACACTGCTCGCAGCTCTGTTTACACTAGCAATTTTGACTGTCGGACAGCATAAGAATTAAGAACTAAAGACAATGTATCGAAGCGGGTAGGAAAATGTTTAAAAATTCATAAATCTTGTTTGTTCCTGCTAGATTATAAACGTTAGTTAATTGTTTCTGAAGAAGTTTCAGTTTTTTTCAAAAGATGTTTTGCCGTTGTACTTGCAAAACCGCGCAGTAAAATTTTTTTATTTATGTTTTTAATTACTTTACTTTTATCCATAGATTCAGATTTTGCAATCAAAAACATAGGGTGCCATTTAAAAAATTGGTCGTGACCTTCATATAACCTTGAAAATTAGGTCAACGTCAAAAAATGTTATCGTCATATGGTTCCCCCTTCGCACAGAACAACTTTCATTTGGTTCATTTTTATGTAAAATGAACCGTTTTCGAGATAATCGCTTGTCTCACGTTAAATAAACCAGCCTGTATAAGAACTTTTCAGACTGTATATCTATTTATTCGCAGAGCACAGCAGATTATTTACTCTCAATATACACTGTGTTAATTAATTATCGTACCCGACGTCATCATTGCAAGTATGCAACCAATATCACAGTATCAGTAGTGCAATACGCATTTGCGTATTTGGTTGCAAACTTGCAATGATGACGTCGGGTACGATAATTAATTAACACACTGTAGATCATTAGAGAGAGTTTTGTAGACATAGCAAACTAATTTCTCAACATTAAAAATATGTCCTTTCCAGACTCGGCATGATATAAAATAAATAGTTTCTAGAAATTGAGGATAACAATTGTTCTTATTATTTTTTACTTGGCGTTTATCGCCTGATTAAGCCGACTAAAAATTAAAAGTCAATAATTTATGTCGTTCTTACGGTTGCCCAAAAATGTGTATATCTCGGTCGTGATTTGTCTTTAACGATTCTGAGACTATTCAAGACGTTAATTATAAACTTTATAACCTTATCATGCAACTAATAATTCATCTGTGTGCATGCTCCTACAAATGAACACAAGTAAGATTATGGCTATCAAGATATAATCCATTTGTAAAAATTTTGAAGAACATCCCCACATTAATAGTGCTAATAATTACTTTTTAGTTTCACTTAGAGACTTTGTCAAAAATAATCTATCTGGTTATTAAACTAGAAGATTCATATGTTGTCATACAAAATACTTTAATTATTGGTGTTCCCTTTTTTGCAGTCTTTGCTTCTATTATGTTTGTAGATTTTCGTATGGGTAATCAATGTATGTCTCTAGAATCTACCAAATCTGGAAGCAAACAGTCTTCATGATGCAATTTATTTTCCATTTTGTCCTGCCAAAACTTATATTATATCACACCTGACATATGAAACTTGCAATGGATTATTTATATTGGTCAATGACTCCTTTTTTGTTGGTAATTTGCTACTGACCTAGTACTTGATAGTACCATTTCTTTTTCATTTATTCCAAAACAGATCTATCAAGATGCATCTGCAACTTCTTGTCCCACTAAACCATATGGACTTGCTCCTAGAATGAAGTACTTATCATATACGAAAAATCCATCAAAATTTACTGTTTTGGTCATTCTTCTCCGACTTCCAGCTCTTTTCATATTTTTTATATTGATAATAACTAATTAGGCGTCATCTAATTTGATTGAAGACAGTTTTTAATGAATATTTTAATAATATGAATTACATAATCTATACAATAAGTCGGTGTATTCGAAGTTCGATTTGATTCATAAATGTTTTGAATTAGGAAAAATAAATATTTACTTGTTGAAAAATTGTTTAAATCTAATTAATATCTCTTATTTTTATTACTTTTTCTTTATACTTTAATGATTGAGTGAAACATTACACTACAAAATATATCAAAGATGAACGTTTATTTCTTCCTTTTTTTGAATCGACTTAAATATAAGTTCGTTTTAATAAATAAACCAATACGGTTAGTAAACAAATTGGTGAATGCAAAGAGACCAGTTGCAGTTTTAACACAGTACGAGCTGTGTTAAAGAAAATGCTGATGAAATTGGACTGGAACGATATTTATAAAGTACATATAGATAATATTGTTTGATATCCTAACCATCTCGCCTATACTATATCAAAACTGGGTAAGCAATAATCCAATGCGCAAGTTGAAGCAATTTTAGATAACGCAATCTGTGGAGGTTACTGCACCGGGTTTATGCCATAAAAAATCCGGTCATACCTATGTACAAATAAAACACAACATTAATTTATAAATGTATTTATTAACTTTGAAAACAATAAAATTAAAATTAAAATCAAAATGATCTCATTTATGTTTTAAAACTCAAAGGAATATTTTATAATAAATAAATCTAAACAGCAATAAAATAGCTGAGTAAACTTAAATTTGCTATAACTAGGTTGAAAAACTAACAATACAAACAATGGGGTGATTATTTAACGAAATAAAACGACCTATATGTGAGTAGTCGTTGTGTGAGAACAGCCCTCCTCACTCTTTAATGGATTGAACCCAAAGTTTCGTTAAAGATTAGTAGAAGTGTACGAAGAAGTATACTAAGGTGTTGTATCTCATTCTGCATCTGTCAGTGGATTTCAGTCCGTTAAAGATAACGCCAAATAGGTCACTAAAAGTGCTATAGCCTGTCAACAGCTTCCCTAAAGTGACGACCGGTTATTTCATAGTTGACGCCAGTAGATGCATTTCAATTTTTTGAACGGTGCAGTGTAATTTATAAGAAAAAGAATAGATACGAATCATCAAAATGTAAGTAAAAAATCATCAATCAATTTTATGTGTCAATATTAGATATGAAAACGAATTTGAACAAAGACTTTCATTTTTATATAATCAATTATAATTTCGAAATTGACGATAATAATACATATCTGAATGATTTTTATAAACAAAAACCGTTTCGTAACATTCGTAATTTGTAATCGACAGGATTTTGTTGCTTTCGGTTTGCGTTTAGATGGTTTTCCAGATTTTATTTTTAATAATTTTCATAATTTAATCCAATATGGTTTATATATAATTTTAAAGAGCAAACTTTCAGTTGTAATTTGATGTAGAAATCGTTTTATTATCTTAATTAATAATGATTAAAACGGTAATTTGAAGAAAACTTCTGGATCTCTTTTTCCAAATATTTTCATTATGCAACATAACATGTATTATACACCATTTTAAAGAGCAAACATTCAATTTTAATTTGATATAAAATTCGTTTCATAATCTTCATTAATAATCATTCCAGGGATTGTTAATCTTTGATCAAATATCGGAGTTTTGAGATTTTTTGAATCGTTAAGAAAACTTTACCAATCTTTTTCTCAAAATTTTTACCATCTAACTCATTATGTTTTATACACCACTTTAAAGAAGAAATATTCTTCTTCAATTTTGTACAAAAATCGTTTTATATCATTAATAATTAACCCTTCCAGGATTTTTTACTTTCGGTCTGCATTGAAATGCTTTAAAGTAAAGACAACTTCCCGATTGTTTTCGTAAAAATTTTCATTATGCAACATAACATAAATTATACACCATTTTAAAGGGCAACTGTTCAGTTTTAATTTGATATAAAAATCGTTTCATAATCTTCATTCATAATTATTCCAGGAATTTTTAATTTTCGATCGAATATCGGAGATTTGAGATTTCTTGAATAGTTAAGAAAACTTTACCAATCTTTTTCTCAAAATTTTTACCATCTAACTCATTATGTTTTATAACCATTTTAAAGAAGAAATGTTCATCTTCAACTTTGTACAAAAATCGTTTCATAATATGCATTATACACCATTTTAAAGGGTAAATATTCAGTTTTAATTTGATATAAATATCATTTCATAATCTTCATTAATAATCATTCCAGAGATTGTTAATTTTTGATCGAATATCGGAGTTTTGAGTTTTTTTGAATAGTTAAGAAAACTTTACCTATCTTTTTCTCAAAATCGTTATCATCTAACTCATTATGTTTTATACACCATTTTAAAGAAGAAATAATCATCTTAAAGTTTGTACAAAAATCGTTTCATATCATTCATTATTAACCCTTAAAGGATTTTTTTTTACTTTCGGTCTGCATTTAGATGTCTTAAGGTGAAGAAAACTTCCTGATGTTTTTTCCAAACATTTTCATTTTGTAACGTAACATATATTATACACCATTTTAAAGAGCAAACATGCAATTTTAATTTGATATAAAAATCGTTTCATAATCTTCATTAATAATCATTCCAGACACTTTTAATTTTTGATCGAATATCGAAGTTTTGAATTTTTTTAAATAGTTAAGAAAACTTTACCAATCCTTTTCTCAACATTTTTACCATCTAACTCACTATGTTTTATACACCATTTTAAAGAAGAATTAGTCATCTTCAACTTTGTACAAAAATCGTTTCATATTATTCATAATTAACTCTTCCGGGATTTTTTTACTTTCGGATTGCATTTAGATGTTTTAAGGTACAGGAAAGTTCCCCATTTTTTTTCCAAAAATGTTTATTAAGCAACATAACATGTATTATACGCCATTTTAAAGAGTAAACATTCAGTTTTAAATTGATATAAAAATCGTTTCATAATCTTTATTAATAATCATACCAGAAATTGATAATTTTTGATCGAATATCGGAGTTTTGAGCTTTTTTGAATAGTTAAGAAAACTTTACCAATTTTTTTCTCAAAATTTTTACCATATAACTCATTATGTTTTATAGACCATTTTAAAGAAGACATGTTCATCTTCAACTTTGTACCAAAATCGTTTCATATCATTCATAATTACCCCTTCCGGGATTGTTTTACTTTCGGCCTGCATTTAGATGTTTTAACGTGAAGAGAACTTCCCGATTTTTTTTAAAAATTAAAAATTTTCATTATGCAACATAACATGCATTATACACCATTTCAAAGGGCAAATATTCAATTTTGATTTGATATAAATATCGTTTCTGGAATCTCTTATAGATTTAGGAAAGTGTAGGTGTAATACTTAGTTGGAGGTGGTACCACTAAACGATTACCAGATTTGTTTCTAGTACTATGAGGGTGTTGTATAAATTTATGTTTTTGTAGATTTTTGTGAGTGTGGATCATACAGATTCTTATGTATTCTAATTCTATGGAGAATATATCAAGTTCTGAATGAAGAAGTTCTGTTGGGTATGTTCTTTTTCTTTTGTTCATTATTTTTAGAACATATCTATGAGCAATATTTAACATTTTGATATTCACTGTGTACGTTCCACCCCATACAATGAGGCAATAGAATAAAACAGATTGAACAAGCGCGTAGTAAAGCATCTTTAGATTTCTATGATTCAAGATATTGCGTAGATCAGAGAATTTTGGAATAACTGATCTTAAGTATTATTTAGTTAGACTTTCCGCATGTGCCTTCCGTTTAAGGTTATTGCCTAGAATTATTCCAAGATATTTGAATTTTTCTACGCGATCAATAATATCATCATGAGTGCATGAACAAAGATTGTTTTTTAAAAAATTGCAGTTTGAAGTATGTATACGAATTTTTTAATTTATATGCTGGGTAAGTAGTATTAGATGGATGGAAAATCATTAATTTTTTTCCCGTTAAGTGTTAGGAGATTTTTAGATAACCAACTTTGGATTTTATTTAAGTCATTGTTTGCAATTCCTTCAACTTCATTCCAGTTCTCACCGTCGAATAGTAATGCGACATCGTCGGCAAAAGCAATAGAGAGTCCATTTATAGGTAATTGTAAAAGATCGTTAATATCCAAATCCAAAAAGGCAACAATAGTTTTTTACTGTTTACAAAATTGGTCTAGATGCGGTCAGTTAGGGTCAAAATGGCATCTTGAGTATTAAGACCCTCTCTAAAACCAAACTGGTTCCGACTTAGTAAGTTATTATTATTTATAAAAGATATCAATCTAGCTTTTAAACATTTTTCAAATATTTTTGAGAAATTGGAACTATTATGGATTCTTTAAATTGCTTTGGGGTTAAACCAGATTCAAATATATTATTTATAATGTATTTTATAGTATTAAGTAATAAAGTGTGATATTTTTTTATAAAAATACTATTTATATTATCAGGGCCAGTAGAAAGGGAGTTCTTAAGTTCATGAATATATTTGATCACTTCATTTGTTGTAACAGGACTCAAAAAAATTGTGTTTGGGGTATATCATAATTGTAAAATTTATCAATTAACTCTGATAATTTAAGTCCTACTTCGATAAAATATTCATTAAAACAATTTGCCATGTCACAAGGATTATCAACAATTACACCTTGTTTGTTAACAATTCGATCAATTTTTGAAAAATTGTTATGTACATTATTTGTGAACTCATTTATGCATTCTCAAATCATTTTGCCACTCCTACCAGCCAACGTTTAGTATTTTTGTTTTAGCACATTCCAGTTTTGTTTTTTTAATTGCTTTTTTTATAGATTTGTTATACTTTTTGAAATAATTTTTAACTTCAATACTATAAAACTTAGTAAGATTTATTTTAAGTTTGTCACGGTACCTCATATTCCTTAGAAGATCCTCGGTCATCCATGGTTTTAGCTTTTTGCATCTATTAGAGATAGTTTTGGTTTCTGAGGCAAATATAACTAATTTTTTAATATTCAAAGTTAGACTATCCAATGCCTCAGATGCATCATCAATTGTCAGAATAGGATCCCAGAATATGTCGTGCATAAGCTTATCCAATTTCGAATAGTTTACGATAGTTCGGACTTTATTTTTACGTGTAACTTCTTTATTACTGATATCATTAATGCTAATGGTACCAAAGTGATCTGTTATCGATGTCATAAGTATAAATGAATTTAGAGTATGGCTTGTTTTGTATTGGGTATATAGAAAAATATGATGAATCCAAGTAGCAGAGAAAGGTGTTACCACAGCTGCTTCATTTATAATTGGTTCATAGCCATAAGATAGCAACGTGTTAAGATACTCATTTGTGAGAGTATTGTCTCGTAATAAGTTAACGTTGATATCACCAGCAAAAATATTTATGTCCACTTTAGTAGTTTGCTCAAGGTAATTATTAAGATCATTCATAAATAGGTTAATATTCGAAGAAGGTGGTCTGTAAACAGTTATAATTTTTATTGTTCTTTTATTAAATTTAAGAGTTATTTCAATAGGTGTGGTTTCTTGAAATTTTATAAGTTTGGTGCTATGGACAAAGTCGTTTTTTATATAAAGAATAATTCCATCATTTTGATTAAAGTTTGAATTATTGTAATAAATAGAATAATTAGTTAAAGATTATTTATATCTAGTACTTGCCAGGTTTCAGTAAGTATAATTATATCTATATTTTTTGGGGAAAGAGACTCCAGCAGAATTTTATACACCATTTTAAAGAAAAAATATTCATCTTCAACTTTGTACAAAAATCGTTCCATATCATTCATAATTAACCCTTCCGGGTATTTTTTACTTTCGGTCTGCATTTAGATGTTTTAAGGTGCAGGAAACGTCCCACTTTTTCTTCCAAAGATTTTCATTATGCAACATAACATGTATTATACACCATTTTAAAGAGCAAATATTCAATTTTAATTTGATATAAAAATCGTTTCATAATCTTCATTAATGATCATTCCAGGGATTGTTAATTTTGAAGTTTTGAGTTTTTTTCAATAATTAAGAAAATTTTACCAATCTTTTTCTCAAAATTTTTACCATTTATTCCCTCTGTCCCAAATTATGGTACACATTTCTCTAAAATTTAT